CACACACACACACACACACACACACACACACACACACACACACACACACACACACACACACACATCAGAGAGTATCGCGCGGTGGGAAAATAGTGTTTGTTTCTATCTCGTGTTATCATTTATCCTCTGATCTGTTCAGCTGCTGTTAAGTCGTTAAACATTTTAAATGCAACATGTTTAGAGGAACATTCAGCAATAATGTAAGTGAAAAATCTATAATGTATTTATTTGATATATTACAAGACAGAATTCTGCCAAGAGCACATCCTGATCATATCTCACGCCAAAATCTAAAGAAAGACATGTTGTGCATAGAAAAATTGTTTTTTTTCTTCTCTCAGATTAGCACCTCACCCAATTCTCATTACTTTGAGGTGACAATATTAAAGTATACAATACTGTTCTAAATTCTGGGATTAGTTCGATTTTTTTTTTAAGAAGTACTTTTATTCAGCAAAGATACACTCAGTTAAAACATGACTATAAAGACTTCTACATTACTGCAAAAAAAAAAAAAACTTCCATAAATGCGGTTCTTTTGAACTTTCTACTAATCGAAGAAAAAAAATGCATCATGGTTTCTACAAAGTACAACTGTTTTCAAAAGTAATAATAAAAAAAGTGTTTATTGAGCACCAAATCAACAAATTGGATGTAGTATTAGAAAAATTCAACTTTGCTTCACAGGAATAAATGGCATTTTAAAATGCATTCGAATAAAAAAAAAACAGTTAATTGTAATTTTGATCAAATAAATGTAGCCTTTGTAAGCATAAGAGACTTTGACTAGTATGGTGTACACCTTTATTTTAAGCATTTTTGATTTATGAATAAAACAAAACCAATCATTTTGTCTGGACAGGATGAATTCCATTACTTCAGTGCTTCTGAAAATAATGCCACAATGCAAAATATATTCGGAGCTCTGAAATTAGCTTTGTGTTCCGAATACAATTTTCTCTTGGTTTCAGAGTGAAATATGACCAAGATTTGTTTCACAGAGATGAATGTGAAGGAAAAAAGTGCTCTGATTTGATATAATTCAATACTTTAGGTGATAACAATAACGGGTCTGTTCCTGTCCCATTTCTGCTGTATTGATTTGGTTTTTCCCAAATATTTTCTCAGGGCCAAATGATACGCATGTATCATGGATATCTCAGACTATTTTCTGCCAGAGTACAAATATTAACAGAATGCGTTTCGTAGCACAGTCTGACTGATGCAACCGTTTGAAAACAAGCCAGCGTTGGGAAAAATCAGCCGGAACGCTTCTCCATTGATTCGATTATCTGGAATTAATGACAAGCACAATCTCCGGCTTTGACGCACACACACAGACAGAGTCACTGTAGAGACATTACCGTTAGATCTTAACGCTCTCTGTTCCGTACACGTTGTAGCCTTCTCGGTACGTGGGAAAGTTTTGGGTGTTGGCTGGCGGGGCTGGCTTATAGTTTTGGGTGTTCTTTTCAAGTTTCAACCGTTTGGCTTCTGCACGTGACTTGTAACAGAACTCTATCAAAGCCACCATCATGGCCAGCCCTAGTCCACCAACCAGAATATAGAAGACACCAGCAACATTGCTCAGGCTCAGTGCACTTGTCTTGTCCTAAGAGAAGCGAGGGACATAGTTAGCATATCTTACAGTGGCAATCCTGACACAAAACACACTATCCTATACAACTCCTCACATGTTCTATCAAGCAGGACTACTGGCTATAAATGACATTTCTACTGCTACCAGAGGAATCTAGATTCCAATGGAGAGAAAATATCCATCTATGTCTAAAGTCTATGAGTCAATTAGGACCATAACTGGTGAATGTAGATGGTTTCTCTAACCTGCTCTTCTCATTGGCTTCTTCATGTATCTGAGGAAGCTGGTCAGTTACGTACAGGTCAGACCTCTGACTTAATAACCTTACTTTAAACAACTGCCTTTCCATCCTTTAACCTTCAAATTCATATTTTGACATATTTTCTACACCAGAGTACTGAAATTAAGAACCATTCTGCTGCAGTTTACCCCCCAAACTTGTCCATTAAAAATTTGTCCATTAGTATTACACTATTTGCCGCTTATGGAGCTCGTTTTACACAGCCGCCGTTTAACTGCTGCATTTTTACTCTTCAGCTGTCTATTGCTACAAATTAACTGTCGCCTTTGCGTTATAAACAAGATTAGTCAACTTTGCTCATCTAATGAAACTTGTGCTGAAACTGTTTGTCACGATGAGAAATGCTTTTGCGGTTAACGCCACAGGAGTTCAATAAATGAACGGGCCTTTTTATTGCGTAAAAGACAAATAAGTAACAACACTAATACATCAAATTTTAAATTCGAAGTTTGGTGAGTAAGAACTGCAGCATAATGGTTATCGAGTCAAGTGAAAATAAGCAAGAAAGACAATTGGTATACAAAAATGAATCTAATCTCTTGATCAATTTGCACTTTTAACTAATTCCCCATTTGATTTATCATTACGGCTTTATTTGAGGGCATTCACTGGAAGAACTACTAGAATAAACAACAACAGAAAGATATGTCTCATAAGTACCCCTTAGCTGATCATTGGAAATGATGGGGAATCGTGCAAAACTCTAGGCCATGCGTCCTTATGGTTTCCTTATATGTGGCCGTAAGTCATTAAATCTACTACACATGGGTTAAATCAAGATATTGACTATTGGTTTGTTCCTTGCATATGAACAATATGTCAAAATGCAGTTTTTGGAATCAGTACAAAAGACCTGCAGCGACTGACCTTACTTCCCGAGTCCTTGGTTCCACATTCACCCTTATCGTACCACCATTTGTTTTTCAGCTTGGCTAAGATGCCTTGTTCACTGAGTTTCAATACTGCAAGGTTTACAGGAGTTCTTCACGTGGGAAATAACATAAATAACATTATATTATGTTATTTTATGTTATTCAAGTCTTAACTACTTCATACTTTACAAAGCGATAAAGCAGGGCTCCTGGCCATTATCAACACACATGTGGCAGGCATTCTGACTAGTACCTTCCAGCTAAGCTAGCTAAGCTAGTGTGCCAGGACCTACCCGTATCGCTTTGAGTAATCGGCATACACTGTTAAGGGCAGGTTTCGCAGGTTTCTGCGTGGCTATAAAAGCAGAGAAGCGTCTTGGTTAATTTGAGCATCTGAGAATGTGGATCTCCACTGGAACCCTCGACTGACTGACAGACCAACGGAAATTACCAGTAGTATTTTGCTCAGGCTGAGGAGAGCTGGCGTTAGGACTCTGTGAACGGATTACAGGCGGAGAGTACAAAGAAACCAAACAGGCAAACACACTTACAAAAGTAAACAAGACCGTACACAGATGAGTCAAAACATTTGCAAAGTAAAACTGTGTTACCTGGGTGCCAGAGTTAACCGAACCGGTGCCTAGCCATGCTACGTCAGAGGCTAGTCTTGCTAATCAGTAGCTGCGGGGACTATAAATGACATTAGCATTAGCGGCTAACAAAACATTAAAGTCAACATGAAATTAAAATTTATCCTATTTATTTTCTTAATACACATGCATGCCTTATTATGCACAGTTTTCCATATGCTTTTCCATATCCATATGCATATGCTGGTTAGGTATGTTTTGAAGCATGGCTGCTGGTTTGAGCTGGTTTAAGCTGGTCCTGAGCAGGAGCAGGGCATAATGCTTCAAAGAAAAATTGATTTGCCTTCGAAATCTTTCATCATATTGCAATAAATTGCTCAGCCTCTGAATGTCTTGTGTCTTGCACAACCGATTTTTGGTACACCGTAAAAAGTTTTAAATAAAGATGACTGGAATATGTTTTACAGGAAAACACTATTTTAGTCTGTCTACTTCAAAAGTTAACGTTTAATTCAGCGCGTTGACTGCCATTATCTTGTAATTGTTTCTGACATTTACTAGCAATTTCTGTCTCAAAGCAAATCACTACACTATTTTTGTAGTGTTTCTCAGCATTTTTCCATGATATGCATTCAGTTCTTGTTAAATGAAATAAAGTCCCACTTTTTCCTTGTAAAATATCACATTTAACTGCAAGTCACATATGTTGCGATTATCATTTCATGTTGACTTTTTTGCTAGAGAACGACATTTTTTCTAGAACGTAATGTAAACCTCTAAAACTGAATTCTGTTTTGTGTAACCGAAAGCAATGCCATCACTCGTCTATACATAATTAGTCACTTAAATGTTCTTTACATTTCTCATAGCTGCTGCTGATTTAGCTATGTGGTCCTAACATTTCTTTTAGCTTGGGGAGAGACATTGATTAACAATGCAATTATCCTCAGAGCGTTTGCAGTGACTGGAGTGGGAAAGCTATCAGCAGCGAGGATGGCAGCGGGCTGCCGGGGGCCGAGAGGAGAACAGGTTGTGTGACTCAAGATGTCGGTTTGTCGCAGGTGGCTTAATGTGGATTTCTCTCCTGTTTTTCTCTCTTTTGTTGTGTTTTTCCACAGCTGGCTGTGCGGCTGGGTCCAGACGTGCCACTGCAGCCTCGCTGCATTAGATCATTAGAGCTAGCCCATCCACTGCGTGTCGACTAATGGGGGCTTCAAATCACTGCAAACTGCAAAAACAGAGAGCTGGAACAAAGAAGGTGATTATGAAAGCTCACATAACCTTTCACCTTCATCCACAGGCAGGGGGCACAATGCTTTTGTTTGTACTGAAAAACCTTCTCCCTAACAACTAGTAAAGACGTTATTAGAGAGGCCCCACTTTCAGGAAATAGGAAACTGTGGAAAAGAAATTACAATTAAAGTCAATGTGAAATCAAAACTGGCATCATGTTTTGTCTATATACACATTTCTGGTTCATTAGTGCACGGTATTCTTAAAAAAAAAGTAATCTTTGATCAAAATAGAATGACTTGCTCCTCCTCAGAAACAGTTTTTGCCTTTGATTGATGTCACGTAGGCCATACTAACTATGTGGGCATTTTTATGCCTTTTTCCAACCCAGGCTCATTGGAAAAAAATGTTGCTTATGGTGACTTTTTATGATTACGTTGCTTCTTGCACGTTTTGCGACACTTTCATAGTGAAATGTCCAGAGGGTGGTGATAAAACGTTCAGATTTATCCAAAACAGATGAGCGTGAGTCTGGCAACGTTTTACAACAACAATGGTTGATGTACGTATCAGAAGCAAAACATCTGCTGAATGGCGCTAAAAGGTTAAAGTTCTAATGTGTTTACAATTAATGAACAACTTACACTAAACCCAAACCTGATACTGATACAGTCTGATACTGTATTAGTTTATGAATCATGCACTTTTTTTTTATGTCATAACTTAGTATTGTGCATGAAAAACAAATCTAACCCATAATCATAATTTGTGTGAAAATGAATAAAAGTTGGTGTTTTATTGCTACTAGTATTCATTTCAGTTGCAGTGAATTGTATGTATAGGTACATTTTTGGAGGCATGTTATTTCATTAAGCCTGGGTTGCCTTTTTGTCATCTAGGTGATTTCTAAAATCTTAGTATGCAACAGGCAGTGCAATAATGTAACTCTAGTTAATTAATACAAATTATAATAGCAATAAAAGCAAATACCTTGCATCTTTGTATTCTTATTGAACAATCAACAACAATCATCACACAATTTCACCCAGAAATGTCACATTACGGAATTACAATGGGTTGTGAATGCCATTTCAAGTTGACTTTAAATCAATTGAAAAATCTTCCCCAAAAATTAGATTAAAAAAATCTATTCCAGCACAGTATATTTTAAGTGGTGAGAAAGCTAGCTTTTAAAATCCTAAATGTTATGCAAATGCACACTGAAGTATTATGGTGGAGCGCAAGAAATTTCAGTTAAATTGAAATGCTTTTAGTGGTTTCATAAATCCTTTTACATGTCGAGAAAATGTATGCTCTATTTTGCATTTATTATACAAACTACATCCGTGCTCTACTTCGGCAAACTCTGAAGGTCCTGAAAATGAGGCTTTTAATGTTGTACAATTTCAAATCTGGGACACACATGAAAAACCACTGTTAGCCCTCTTCATGTGTGTCCTCATTTTAACCATTATTCTCAAAACAAACAACAAGAACAGTTCCATGTAAAAGTGATTTTGCCCTTCTGAATGCTGTGAATTGAACTGGAAAGTCTAAGGGTAGCACATCAGTTAATCTTCACCTCCACATAAGTACAAAATAAGGGCTGGACTGGGCCCAACACGTCCCACATATGCCCTGCTGAGTGGGTTAACATTGGCCTAGTGGAGGGAGGACAAATAGCCAGTATCAAATGAAGCGATGGATTTCTGATCCTGTGTTCAGATTGGTGTGGAGATGGGAATGCTCATGTATGTGTGCTATTCTTAGCCCCTCAAGCCTCAGATCCCACTGTTTGTGTCAGTGTTTTACCAGTCCTGATCTGCGCTGTCTATTAGTAATGTCAGACATGAAAGTTCTTGAATGTTACAATGATTTGTCCTCACATACTTCCCCTAAAAAGTGTACCACTAAAAACATTGCTCTGATTTCTGATTAGGCGGACTTTACACTTTTCCCCTTTAACCTCTGGCATAAATGGTGAAAACTATAAGAAGACTATGTTACCGTTCATGGACAGCTGCCTAGCAGAAGCAAAGCGAGAAGGCAATCTCGAGTCTCTCTTTACTGTCTGCCAGGCGGATGTTTTCTCCGATTCCTAAAACACGAACAGTTCACCAGTCTTCAGCGCTAATATCGCTAATGAACTAGCGCAGCTCCAGCTGCTAACCAAACAGCATCGCTAACATCTGTGTGCAAACGCTACGCTAAAGTGAGGTGTGTAAAAAAACAAACAAAGTGACTTCTCCTCAGTAGGACAAAATCATACTGGTCATTTTCTCTCCTCTGTTAGCCAAGTCAGGGTTCTGGTTTTGCTCTCAGATATTGTGGGATCACTGAAGGATGCATGTTTTTTTTGTTGATCATTTGGTTTGGCTCGGTTCAAGGATAACAGGCTTGCCGATTACTCTGTACTATGGTACCCGATTTCGGCAACAGCAATGTACGCTACACACGATGACCAATCGCAGAGTTTTGGTGGTTTTGTTTATATGTGTGTCCTCTAGCAATGGTTAGCAATGCTTAACCTGTCAGTGTTGTGGAAAATGTCCACCTTTGGACTTTTGGATCCTGTGCTGTTTTGCTGCTTACTTGAGTGTTGCATTGAGTTACCCATCACTTTGCTCTCTGGGGCTGACCTTGGAATCACCTCCCCCGCTGCCGCACTCTCCCTTGTCGTACCACCATTTGTTTTTCAATTTGTCCAACAGGCCTTGCTCATTCAGTTTTAAAACTGCCAGGTTAACAGCATTTCTTGAAACAATAAAACATAACTTGTAAGAAAATGCACAGGTCTGTGAGCAATCTACTGCATTAGCATAGTAGTAGTAATGGTAACGTTATTTAATACGGTGAGCTACTACTACTGAGAGTCAATTATAGCAGTAATCAGAATGGTTGAAAGAGCACAATTTGGTTAAGAATTTCACGACTATGAAGGTAAGAGACGCTCAGAGCAAAGAAAGGGTTAAATATTCAAGGTGGCATGGAGGGTTACGCTGTTTCAAACTGAAGTGTGCGGGATGGGGACATTGTCATTGAGAAGAAAAGTAACAACAACAAACATCATGCAATTAACATTCGTCACAAGTGACAGCGCAGCTTTTACAAGCTAAATTGAAAAACTGTTGAACTGTTAAATTAAAAGTGACAACACGACAGTCAGGAAGGACAGGCACACGAGACAGCGAGAGAAAGATCGAAGGACAAAAAAGACAGAAGAGAGACGGGAAGGGACGCAGACACACACACACAAATGAGAAATGATTGCTTAAAATAGCCACTGATAAGTCTCGAAATGAAAAATATCTGGTTGAAAAACTGGAAAAGAAGACAAACATTTAAAGAAGAGAGAATTGATCAGAAGCATCATTGTGAATCAAATAACATTCATAATGCATTATACCGTTACCTCTTTGTCATAATAGGGGGATTGGGGGAGGGAGGGAGGGAGGGAGGTAGGGAGGGGAGGAGGAAATGACAACACAGGACATCAGGGTAGGTGGAATACTATAACAACATGGAGAATATTGTTATATTATTCCACCCACCTTAATGCTGAGCCTTTGGGGGTCGCCACACCATAGCCCTTAGAGTCCAGATTGCCGCCCACTTTCATGGTGTCGCAGGGCTTCCTCTGCTCAATGTATTCATTCATGGTGGATTCGAGAAGAAAGGCAAATTTGCCCTTCGACTTTCGTACCCGTGCCACCCCGTCGGGCGTGGTCTTGGCGAAGACGGAGGGCTCGGCTGATTTCATGTACGACCACATTTTTTCATACACTGCTATTTTTGAACGCTGTGCAAAGGAGACAAGAAAAACAGACATACGGCCGTATATCATTATCCAAGAAGTGCACAAAGATTGCATTTACACATCATGTGTTATATAACTTAATAATTGATAATAAACATAACAACGATACAGAATTACAGACATCCTGTATTTAGTTCACAATAGGATTGCAGTGTATGTGATACACTGACTAGTTGATTAGTTTTACCACTGTTGGGGAAAGTTACTTTTAAAAGTAATGCTTTACAATATTGCGTTATTCCATAACAAAAAAAATAACGAATTGTGTTTGTTACTTTTTTATGGAAAGTAATGCATTACGTTACTTTTGCATTACTTTTTGTCACCTGGGGCCCGTTCTTCTTATGTCGCTAACTCAGTTAGCTGGATTTGATTGTTGACGATTTCGTTTGATCTTGGATTGTTTGGTTCTTTGAAGCTCATCCCGGAGTTGCTGTCATAGCAACAGCTCTGTAAACTGAAACCTGCTCGGGAGCAGTTTATTTCATGTAAACAGGATTAGATTGCATCTTTTTAAGCGGAATTGATACTTAAAATCTGTCCCAGCCACTGCTACTTTATTACAAGAGTATCCTACTGATCCAGGGACAATAATTTAAAATAATAATCATTTAAAAATAATTTAAAGATAATATAACAATGTTGTGTAGTATTTAATACTATAGACACAGCCAGTTTTACTCACTAAAATATTTATTCGTCATAATATTTAAATGAGTAAAACTGTCTGTGTCTATATATAGAGACAGGCACTTTTACTCATTGAAATATTTATGATTAAATCATTTCTTTATGTATACAGTTAATCTGAGCTGTGCATTAATTTGAGTGATGGCAGCTATTATGGAAGTGGCTTGATGGAGCGCAGGAGATGCAGATAACATGATCATGACCCTTAAGAAACTTTAATGCTGTCACGTAACAAATCTGTTCAAATATAAAATTAAATGAATTGCTAATTACTACATTGAAATAAAAATGTAAAGCCTGTACAAATATTAGAAATCATGAATATAAATAATTGGGAATCATGTACAAAATTAAAATAAAATAAAAACAGTGCACATGTCATTTATCTATTATAACATTTATTTAGTTTTGTTCGCTTGGCTCTTTCCTTATAAAAGTCCAAGAATTTGTCAAGTTTTTCGTCAGGTGTCTTTATTAATAATATTTTGATTATGCTGACTGGAATTTTTGCTGGAATGCAGTTTAAATTAAAATATTTAATTTTATTTCGGCTAATCAATAGACCATAATTATAAATACTATAGTGTTTCATTGAGGAATTGTTCCGAATACTTTTGTAAATAATAGCTTACTGTAAATGCTCGACAGGCCAATAAAGCTTTGATTATGCTGACTGGAATTTGTGCTGGAATGCAGTTTAAATTAAAATATTTAATTTTATTTCGGCTAATCAATAGACCATAATTATAAATACTATAGTGTTTCATTGAGGAATTAATCATTCACGTAGTTTCATTAGTAAATGAAAACACAACACGCTCATTTATCATCACACATGGGCATAAATACAATCATAAAGTCAAAACTTTATTGGCATAATTGTCAGGCGTTTATTTACAAAATATATGGTAGGCTAGCAAATGCTAGCATAGTTATACAAAACGTTAACTAGGTAAAGCGATACACAAATTGAAAGGGGAAATAAGCATATATAATAATAAATATAAAAATATAGCCCTAATAAGTTAATGTAATAATAATAATAATAATAATAATAATAATAATAATATAGGACAGGAAAGATGTCAGTGAATAAATGGTAAAACAAAGTAGCGTTACTTATTTGAAAAAATAACTCTGATATTTTCTTGTAAATTTAAACGTAATGCGTTACTTTGCTAGTTACTTAAAAAAAGTAATCTGATTACATAGCTCACATTACTTCTATTGTGTTACCCCAAAAACTATCGATCACATTCAGCTTTTTGTGTCTGTCAACAACAGGAAGATGTTTTGTAGATCCACAAACTGTGACCCAGTGTTTGTGCTTGTCATTAGCTTTGTATGCTAACCTTTAACAAATTCAATTTGCAATTGTGTGAATGTGAAAAAGAAGCAAACCAAAATGTTTTGCATTCACAATGTGTGCTATCCACCCTTCCTTGCCTGACTCATACCAGAATATTGTTTACTTTTCCAGCCTCTGGTGTTTCTAGTAAAATTAGCATATTTTTCAAGCTGTTAATGTAATGTTAAACCTATGAAAATGGCTTGATAGTAGCTTAAAACGTGAGGCACTGTCTTTTGGCAGTGCCTCACCTGTCAAAGTTTATTGAGTGGGTATATGACTATAGTTTACTACTGTGATAACAGGTGGGTATTAATATCCTACACACGGCTTCAGATCGTGGTGAAGTTCAGAGAGCTTTTAGTCCAGAAAATGATAAGAACACTCCACTCATACACCTTCTTTGGGAAATATTTTAAGCAGATCGGCAGAATTGACTTCTAGGATTATCTAGGCTGATTTGCAGTGTTCACCTTCAGTAAAAGAAAAAAAATATTGCAAACCACTTGAAGGAACCTAAAAGTGACCAAGTGTCTCCCTGAGGCTGACAGAAACATATGTTGCTTCATATTTGATTTATATTAACTGTAACACTCTCTGCCAGCCATCACTGGTGATGCTCACTAGTCCACTCTTTTCCTGAAATAAACTCGCACTTATATTTAAAGGGAACATAACACACACAGTTTCTGCCAATCTCATGTTAATCTTGAGTACCTATTGAGTAGTACTGCATCCTTCATATCTCCGAAGAGTCTTTAGTCTGATCAGATTTATAAAAGACAGATACCGCTGCACCGCTTCTCTCGGAAAACAGTCGAGCTCCTGGAGGCTTGCAGTGGGCGGAGCTAAAGACTCACGAGCATGCAAAGCTTGTGCGTACCGATCGTCTGCAAGCTATAACATCAGCATAAATAAAACAGGTTTATTGACTTAGATTAAATTTGTTTATAAAACATTTGTCACCGAAATGCCAGTGTAACTCCTCTCTCCCGGGTCCTCACCGCCACACCGAGTGGGTATCGAACCCGGGTCTCCGGCATGGGAGGCGGACGCACTAACAAGGAGGCTAAAGACTGCAGCTACTAGTGCGTCTCTTGAGATCAGGGGAGTGAGGTTTACCTGCACAGCACCTACCTGCTGGCCTCCGTTACACTCACCCCCCTAATCCTCACTCCCATCCGGGTCACGGCACCAATGTAACCCCTCTCTCCCGGGTCCTCACCGCCACACCTCGTTCTCGCTCCGAGTGGGTCTCGAACCCGGGTCTTCGGCATGGGAGGCGGACGCACTAACAAGGAGGTTAAAGACTGCAGCCACTAGTGCGTCTCTTGAGATCAGGGGAGTGAGGTTTACCTGCACAGCACCTACCGCTGGCCTCCGTTACACTAGGAGCAAACAAACGCACTTGCACAACTCTCGTTGCCCCGGAGAAACAAACTGCATCCACTGTTCCCTTAATGCTGGGTTGTTTGGGAAGCTGAACAAGGTTATCTTTCGCTCACAACCAAAAACACACTTCTTTGGTGACATTGTTGATTTAGTGGTCTAAAAATAAAATGACAAATCCTTCTCGAGCGAGTCCTGTGCAGTGCTGCTGATGACTTCCGTAACCCGAAACCTTGCTCTAGTTGATGTGCGTATGCTCTTCCAGGAGAAGTGCCCATACAAGGAATTCTTCCCTTCATGACGTCATACAGGGCCATACTTGAAAAAAAACTTTCAGAAACTTATACGAACTTATACTTCATACGATATGAAGGACTGTATTTGGCACAGAAATACTCCGTCATATGTCCAACTCATTTTTTGAAACTTTGGCCATGTTTAGCATGAGAATCCAACTCTTTAACAGTGTAAATAAGTCAGAATGCATAAAATAGCATTAGCACTCCCCTTTAAATAAGTTGGAGCCAAAAACCTTGTGGGCAGCGCTCTAGCATTAGCACTCCCCTTTAAATAAGTTGGAGCCAAAAACCTTGTGGGCAATGCTCCAATATATAATAAAGCTGCTGATCCCATTCCCCTCTCTCCACCCTGTGCTTTCCTGCCTGATCTCTATGCTGTCCTATCCAATAAAGATACAAATGGCCAAAAATATAACTTCAAAAAGTACTTAGTAGCAATTATACAGAGGTGTCTCTTTTTAAAGTAGTAGCGTTTCAAAGAAGGCCAAATAGTCAGTGCTGAACTGAAGGTGCAAAAACTGCAGAATTATTTAATGCATCAAGGGGAACATAAATAATGACAACACAGACAACTGCATCAGCAAAAAAGTCACAGCGGTTTCCTTCCAGAACTCCAAGAGGAACAGATGGACACCTTATAGGATTGTTGCTAAATGACACAATAGTAGAGCCTTAAAAATCACCAAAGAACCAAAGAAGTTTATGGCAGGGCTGTTATTCAGAAAGCACTTGTGTTCAGTGCCAAGACATGAGGAAAAACACATCTGGTGAATGGAAAAGCTGAAAGAAAAGTGTCCAGTGGCATTCCTTACATCTGGGCTGGTTTATGTTTGAATAAAATCAAAGGATGCTTTCAGCCCGTTGTATCTGTTGGTACAGTAACTGTCAAATGTGATTGGGGATGTGTAACATTATGAGCTGTTTTATCACGGGAGTCGTTATATCAAATGATTGTTGTGTGCGATCATATACCAGCTGAAGAATATGAGGCTGCTTTTACTGCTGCTGTATATATTGCATGACTATTCCCATATTCCCCTAAACACACATCTAGACTATATATTAAAGACTAAGATTGCCTTCTCCATCATTAGGTATAATCACTGAACTCTTATGGGATGTTCTAGAGCAAAAGTAGAAACCTTTTTCTTGGGAAAAAATGCAATGTACACCAGAATCTGTTGTGTAACAGGGTGTAAAAGTGTGTAACACTTGTGTAACAGGGTTGTACAGCTGACAAATGCATTCAACACTAC